ATAACAAGGTTGAAATGAAATTCTGGTCTTTCATTGTCAGTTCCTTTTGCTTTTCCTTATGCATGCAGGTTTTCCTTTTAGCACTTATATTTAGCTTTCACAATAACTGAATTTAATCAGTGAAAACCAAAGGTCTAGATTTCCCCATTAACAAAGCCCAAAGGAGATTATTACTTGTGACTACCACTTAAGTCAGACTTCTAAGATAATTTAATCACCATAATTATCCAATGATTATTCTAGATGGATGACCGCATCTGCCTGAACAAAAACTGATTACAATTCCCCAAGATGCAGAATCAACTATCGGTCAATATTTTTTTTTCGTGCTCTCCCAACCCTGAGGTTCTAGATTGCGTGCAATCTGAAAAAGCCAAGCTTCTACAAGAAGGTGTTAAGGACATTAGTTTTAATTCCACAAATCCTCACTGACCTGGTATTAGGAGCCAAGCCTCTTGGTGCCACTGAACAGAGACAAGGGATCGCCATAATGCTCACGTTCAGGAAGTGACCCTCGATTCTCTGCCATTCACCTGTGCGGTCTAAATATAACATATTGTATTAACTTCAAGTAACCCTAATTATGTTTGATGAATGATTAAACTTGCAGACTTACCTGATTTAAGTCTCCCTTCCTTCCTTCTAAAAATAATAACAAATTAAAAGTCACTAAAGGATGACTAAATAAATCAATCACAGCTTGCTTGTCGTGAAAATAAGCATCTAACACTGAATTAAAGCAAAATTGTCTTTATGAAAGAACAGCTTTAAATCCTGTATTAATTACATAATTTGAGAGTTCACTTCATTGTTGAAGTAAACATCATTATTTTTTATTCATGTTTTAAGACAAAATATACTACCATAATGGAAAACTACTTGCAGCACAGCAAAATCTAAATGAAACATGACTCCCTCATATTTCCTTCAGGTATATTAAATTGGTCCTTTTAGGAAAACATTGAATGCAGAATGCAATATAACGAACATTAGCAAATTAGTTAAATGATACAATTCCTCCCCCCCAAAAAATAAGACAGGGTCTTATT